ATGATGCTAAGCTAGCAGATCCCAATAACGCCAATAAAACAAAGAAGTGTTGAAACATAAAAAGTGTCTTAAGCACAATCCAAATGTTTTATGTACTAGAAGTGAACTGTTTAAAAGCTAGATAATCCAAAAAAATCAAACGGGTCCTCAAGTGAAAACCTTTTCACAAGCTACTGGCAGCAAAACAGGAAGTGACACAATAAATCTTACTGCGAACGTCAGCCGTCAGTCATTCATAAAAGCAAACCAGCCTTTTGTAAGCTTCAGAGAAAAACAGACTGAAAGATCCCTCAAACCTGCTGAAGTGGGGCAGAAGAAAAAGAGATTGCTGAGTCATCATTCCTCTTGTCAGGCTGCTCCTTCTTCAGCTTAACCAACTGCTGCTGTCTAACATTGTTGCAATTTATCAACTGTTCTTTAAATAAGCAAATTCTGTTCAGATCACTGATCTGTTTTACGAAGGAGGCCTGGACGTGTAACGTTTTAAGCTAGAAGTGCCTAAAAGTCCCTCTAATAGACCCCCAAAACAGTCACTGAAGATCAGCTCCTGTTTTTTTTTGTGTGTGTGTAATGAGAATAACGATTCATTCATTCATTCATTCATTCATTCATTCATTTTATTTTTTTACCCAATTTTCTGACTTTTCCTTTTTTTCTTCTTTTTACAAAGACTTTTAGAGTCTTATAAAGTTCTGATTATGGCGCTGACAGGGTGTAAAAATATCAACCCACAAGCAAACAGACAGTTTGACCTGTGTTTACATAATTTTCAATTGGCCCTTTTATGTCTTTGACTTGCTTTGAGTTTCCTCCCTTTGCTTTTTTGTATATTTGAATTGATACGGTTCAGTGAGTCACGTTGTTAAACTCCATCATATTTGCATTCATCATCACGGAAGTTCACAGGAAAACTTTACCTTCTGACGTGTTCAGTTAAACCTGCCCTGTTCTCTGATCAGTTAGTCATCCACGTGTTGACACTAGCCTTGTCAAGACTGACTGACAAACCTCTAACGTAATGAGAGCAAGCATTGTTTGATATAACTGAGCTGTGACACAAAATTAATTAATAAAAAATAAAAAAAAATCCAGATTTGACATTAAAGTATTGGTAAAAGCTTTATAAATAACCATTAAAGATGAGGTTTTACAATTTCCTGTGACAAAGTTTAGTTGTTTTTTGTTTTTTTTGTTTTTTTTACCTGTTTTTATAAAACTAGGATGTTAAACACATAATTAAACATCAACACTCAGATCTTTAAAGAACATTTTACCTACTTAGACCACCAACAAATAATTTAAAAATGGACAAATTTCACATTTTTGAAAATAAGAATCTGTTGCATTTTATTTTTTTAAATATATTGTGTACTAAGCAAGAGCCCCATGTTTTATTTAAATGGTATATATATTTTTATTTTGAATTATCTGTAACACTCAGACTGTACCAAATTCTTTCCTGGCTGCATGTATTTTCATGTTTGTTCAGTCCCATTTTGTAAAGTATCATTTGTTGAAGTAATCAGTACTTAACTCTTAACATCTGGTTATTGTTTTATTTATTATAGGTGTAAGAAAATATTGATACTCTGAATTATCTCAGTATTTCATTTCCTGATACTGTATTGATTAAGAAAAGCGCTGTATTGATTTTTTAATCAAGGCTTAATGGATGAATGTTGTAAGATGAAATGTGAAATACAAATGCACTTGTCACTGTTCAGTGTTCTTCTGACTTTATAAAAATAAACTGAATTTAATCAGATTTTATGCATGTCATGTGTGCCCTTTATACTAAGTTTTTAAAATTAGAATCTTCTACAGAAAAATGTCAACATATCACCTTGCTGACAGTATTGTTATATCAGCAGTAGTAATCTTTGTAACAAATCATCTTGTCCTCTGAACCTGTTGAAACGTGTAGTAAAATAAAGTAAAGATATTTATTATCTCCTAGATTATGTCATGTCTGTTCATGCTGTGTCAAGGACGGATGTAAGACCCTGTAGATATTTGAAACCCAACACAGTTCAAAGCTGCTGGACTAATTTTAGCCTGGAGTCCATCAGCCTGGAGCTCATGCTGTATCATGTATGCTTGCTTTGCTAGAAATTCAAGTTTTCTTCAGTGACTTTATTTATTTTATTTTATTTTAAAACCTGCTCTGCAAGACATACTTTATTATGAAGTACGTAGAGTAAAAATGTAGGAAATCTAATAACTGATGATCAATCTAGTTGTTTTATAATTAGTATGATCCCTGTTAATATTTTAGAAATTTGAACATGAGGCATAAAAATTTATTATAGCTATTTCATTCACACATTCATTCATTCACACATTCATTCATTCACACATTCATTAATTCACACACACATTCATTAATTCACACACATTCATTAATTCACACACACATTCATTAATTCACACACACATTCATTAATTCACACACTCATTCATTCA